TTACAACGTCGTTGCCAAGCGACGAAAACCCAACCCCGATGGCAAACACCGAGGGGGTGCCTTGTTTTACACCGTCGTTGCCAAGCGACGAAAACCCAACCCCGATGGTAAACACCGGGGGCGGGGGAAAGGCGGTGGGGATGCAAAAAGCAACAAAAATTTGTTACTAAATAGGCTGATTCTGATACACCTGGAGTCCTTCACTTTCCAGGATGGGCAAAAATCCGGCTGAAAAAAGTCCGGCCGTTCTTACAGTGAGCCGGGTTCCTGTGGCGATTTCTTGGGGGGTGGGTGTAGATCAACCCAGACATTATCATCGAGTGCGACCTGAGTTTTTGGACGTATCGCTCCCATCAAGGGTTCCCAGCAACCCTACGCCGAGGGATTGCTATTCTGCACGCTGGCTTTTGGTGGTCGTTAGGAACGCGTGCGTAAAAAAAGCATATCGCATCGCACCAAGCATGGGAGACGCCGAAATAGGCCAAAGCGCCACGAGACAGCTAAAAGAGCCTCTTTTCGTCAGAGAGGGGAGAACACCGCAACTGATTTCTCGCTCCCTAGGCCACTGATCGAAGCCAGACCGGTCAGGGCGTGCTCTTTGTTCCTTACTCTCTGCCGGAGTACATTTGCTCGACAGCGCGTATTCTCGATCGACGGAAAGAAGCATGCGCGTGGTGCCCATTGCTTTTTCGAACTGTGATTTTTTTCTGGTCTGCTTCACTTGGGAAAAGAGTGATGTGTTGAAGGCCTAGAAACAATTTTCAACGGACAACTTGTGTACACGAAGACGACGATTCGATCAACGGAGCAAGCAGCTTCAACGTTCCGCATTCCGTATGATATGTATCATGTCAAGGAAGACCCGATTCGCAGTGTGTCTGTCGATTGACTTTTACCTGAATCGGTATACCTTCGCACATGGCATCAGCTGGGTACAGGTTCGAATCGCCTTAGGTGCACACTTTTTCTAATGACTTGGATATTTTCCCATGGACACAATAATGTGTGTCAGTCCTGAGGACACCTCTTGGAGTCGATCCTACATAGAACCTTGTGACTTCCATCGAATTACCCATCCTGGCCACAAGAGATTCCCAGTTGAGGGTAAATTCTGTGGGTGGACAGTGTTAAGGAGGACCCGATTCGCAGGGTATCCTTCGCAATCATACCTTGTCAATTCAACCACCAGCGAGTGAGGACCAAGAATGAAGCAAGCCGCTGCCTGCTCGGATACTGTGCCGAAAATCCCGTACGACAAACAGCAGCGTGAACCAACACCCACATCACTACGGTATACTACGGTATACTACGGTATACTACGGTATACTACGGTATACTGAACCTCGCGTGCGGCTCGGTCACCGTCACAATGTACCGTGGACCCAAGAAGAATTGACACCCACACCATCGTTCTCGCGTTGAGCATCGAACGCAGGAGAGGGGTCGTGGGTAGGGGCTCCCGTGGAGACGAACCCATGCGTGCTACCACGGATTGGAGCTACTTCCTGGAGTACCGGCCAGAAGGGCTGTGTGTGAGCAATGGTTCGGAGTGATAAGCACACAACAGAATAAATCAACGCGATCTACTCCTATGGAACACAGATGGCGGTGAATGCTGCTAACAAGCGGCGGGGAGGAAAGCCCGCCGAAGTCCGCCAAAGTCCGCAAAAAAAACAACAAGGGCGTACGTGCTTGCTGGTGGTGGGCCAGGCACCCTAACCCCGTGCCGTGAGAAGAGGGTTCGGGCGTGGAGGCCGCACAAGCCGTTGTCTGCGGTAGCGGTGGCACTAATGCTTGGAGGGTGGTAGCACAGCAGATTCAAAGGTTCGACCTGGTGGTGCGCGTTGATGGAGTACATACACAACAGCTGCTGTGCCCGTTGTTCAGGAAAGGCAATGTCATCGACCGATTGTAGCGCCGTATCAAGTGACCATTGCCCACGCATCTGTGCTAGGCCCAACAAACACAATTTTCGCTCCTTCTCATCGTTTTCTCGACGTGGGGGGGACGAAGAGGCCACACACACACAACCGGGAGATTCTTCAAAATATCGGAACATACTTTCTGTCCTTTCTGTGTGCAACGCGCCTTGCGGCGTTTGTGTCGAGATGACAATCCATTTGGACCGGTGAGTGTGTCTATACAACCCAACGCTAACCTGCAGCCCATGTTTGCCGAAATGCGTAGATGGATGCGACAACGCACGGGGGGTTAACTGCTGTTGGCGTATGTATGTAACTGCTTGCCATCTATAGCTTGGGTGTTCTCCCGAGACACACACGTATGCGCGCGTTTCAAAAACCGGAGGTCTTTCGTGAACGTGGATTGCCGTGACACAGCGGCAGCAGCAGCGCATCTTTCGTCGTTTTCTAGAGTTTTCGAAAAAACATGGCACCGTTTCAGCATACGCCCTCCGACGACAAGAACCCGCTGCTCGCAGCGCAATAGACGCCAGTTTCCAACCGTCGTCTTTTGTGCATCCCCCTGCCAACCCTAGCACTCTCGTTTCGCACCACGTCCACATGTGGCACGCGACCACCGCTGGATTCGCACCTACATGCACCGCTTATCGACGGTACCCACGCAAAGTGATGAGTGTAGATGCCGTTCATAGTTGCTCACAGGTATCCGAAGTACCTCCACCAGCAGTGGTGGATGGAGGGAGGGCGAGGGCTCACGTGTTGCCTGAAACTTTGGCAGCCACTTGACCATTACCTACGCATCTATGCCAGGCCCAACCATACAATTTTCTATCCTACAAATGTATCTCATCCCTTTATCGGCGTGGGGGGGACGAAGAGGCCACACATACACACAACCGGGCATAAACAACCTTGGCCGCAAAACCTGCAGCAGTCTGTGAAACACGCCTTTCGACGCTGTCGAGATGATCCATTTGGTCCGGAAAGTCTGACTATACAACCCAACGCGAACCGGCAGCCCGTGTTGGCCGAAATGCGTAGAAAGATGTGATAACGCAGAGGGAGGGACTTCAACCTTTGGTGTCATGTGTAACTGTTTTCTATCTCTTACTTGGGGTGTTGTCCGGACACACACGCGCATGCGTATGTTTCAACAACCGCAGGTTTGTCTTCTGTGATCAACGTGGATTGCCGTGACATAGCAGCAGCAGCGCTCTTTCGTCGTTTTCTCGAGTTTTCGAAAAAGCATGACACCATTTCAGCATGCCCTCCGACAAGAAAACCGTTACTCGCAGCAAAAGAATCATCAGATGCCAAACAAACAACTGCTGTGTTTGTCTGCGCGCCCTCTGCGCTACTGCATGTAGGCTGAATGTTTCATCATACGTGCGCACGCAACAGAACGAAAACACAATTCTTCCCGTTCTCAACGCAAAGCTCAATTTCCACGCCGGGCCCGATAACGACGTACCTACGTGCTTGCCGACCCAGCGCCTCAGACAGAGCTCCTTCCAAAGTTGCTCGTCGACGGCAGCATCCCTCCAGGCCCGGCAAGCACCGCTCGCCCTTTGCAGGCACCCGGCGCCCAGGAAGCCTAAGATGCAGGAGCGGAGGATCTCATCTGGATAACCAGTGGGGGGGTGCCTTCTCCTTCGGACCAAGACCGTTGACGCACGACCTGACGCTCGTCGTTGCGGTGATACGACCTCTACGGCAAAGGGGTTGGGAGCGGTGGCGGTGGTGGGGGTGGCGGCGGTGGGTCTTGGGCAACATGGACACTGCGTGCGTGTTGTGGGCGAGCTGGTGGTGCTGCTTGAAACGGACAAGATTTCCGGTGCTGCCGCTGCTGCTGGTACAGCCGCCGCCGCCGCCGCCGCCGCCGCCGCAGCAGCAGCAGCAGCAGCAGTAGCAGCAGCAGCAGCAGCCTCGTTCTTATTCCAAGCTTCCCCGATGAGCCCCCCGTCTCTTCCCTTGACAGCAGCTGTGTGCGTTCCTCGTTCCTGGAAGCGACTGCTACAACCCCCCATGATCTCAAGGGAGGTTGGCAGCGTTGCAGGTCAGGAATGGGATGGATGCAAAGAACAAAGCAATTTTGTTCTTTTCCCACAACCTCCGCCACTCCTGACTCCTGACTCTCCTGCTGATCCCGGTGAAAGTCCCTACTAACGACGCGCCTGCGACAAGAGGAGGGGAAGCGGCTTTCGACAGGGGAGGACAGTGACACTCTGAAGGGTGACGTAGGCAGCAGTACGCCAGACCCACCGGTCTTTACTCTAACTTTGTGTGTCATGAACACCTTGCAGTGCTGCGCGCAGAAAACAAAAAAATATCAGACGTACGTAAACGCCAATTCACACTCTACCATGCTATACACGCCCACAGCAGAGCCACCCCTCCAAGATGAAGCACTATGGCTGTAGATATCTCCAATGGCTAGCGATGGGCCCGAGTAGGATGGAATTTCATACACCATAGCGCTAGAACTCAGCAGTGAAAGATCTCAACTCGGCCCCAAAAAAATATGGAAAAGCGCACAGCCCCCGTAGACGCGGCGGAACCTCTACCGAGCCCACGGCACTTTCCTGGCGAACACAAGAACGTGCTACATATGCATACGTTGCCAATTGGCACGAAAATTGGCACGAAAGCATTCTGCTGTATGGAGAGTAGGATGACAAATCCTGGCAGTGATACGTTCCACGCAGCCTGTGGGAGGGATGGATTTGGTCCAGAAACGGCATCCACGCTCAGGCTTTATGCTTAGGTGTCTCACGACTGTTGACAACGGGATGTCTCGCATTTTCTTGTAGCTGCTCATTTCGTGGTTGTACAGCACTTTGAATTACGTTTCTTTATGCAGTACAAGCCGAGCACGCGTATTCGGCATGCACCAAAATTTTGAACTGGAACCCACCTGTGCGGTGTTTGTTGTTGTTGTCGCACCGCTAAAAAACTGCGGGAATAATTGGCGGTGCCAATAATACGAGGGCCCACACCTCCGGTCGCCCCGGTGGTCTAGTGGGTAGCCTCGCAGCCTGCTAAGGGCCAGGTCATGGGTTCGAGTCCCGGCAGAGAGAGTGTTTTTCTCACTAAATAAATCCTGGTCTAGGATGAAAGCGACGCGCTGCAAAGCTCGTTTGTTAGTAAACCATAATCGACTTCGTAAGTCGCGAGGGAAGGGATTGCTGTATGTACCCTTCTCGCGATAAAAATACCTCAGGCATGCACCGCAGGAGGGGGTCCAACCCCCCCCTCCTTTGTGACCCCTGTTGGGTCGTCTAGCTAGTAGAAGTGGAGGATAGGGGCCAGAGGGGCAGACGACAGAGTCCAATGATGATGGGAGAAAAACAAACAAAAAACAACAAACCTCACCACCCTCTCTTCTTCGCGATCATATTTTTTTGTCGACCCCGTTCTGGCTGGAGTAAGGGCTTGAATGAGCGACCAAAAAAATCACGTTCGAAAAAGTGCTTTGAGTCCCCGGGGGATAGCGAAACCCGGTCGATGTAGTTCTAGTCTTTTGAAAAAAACACGAAGAACTACTAATAGACTATAATGTCTCTGAAAGTCTGTGGGAATACATCGGCTGCAGGGCGCACACCTTTTTTCGCATAGAAAGTGTGGTAGGGTGAGGTCCCGGGCTGTCCACGGAGAGCGTAACGTACGTGTGAACAGGATAGGGTGGAACGACAACCCCACCGCCGCCCAAGTACTACACGTACGACGTGCTCGTAGAAGAAAGGCCATATTTTCTCCAGCACTTTTATTTGAATTGGGTCGAGCAATATTCCACACGATGTACAAGCAAGGCTGCTTCCAACGTCGGCCCGATGGTAAAACAAGCCGCCTGTCGAATCACTACAACTTTCGGCGGCGCCAAAAGTGACGAAACAAAAAAAAAACCAACATATAAAACTGACTCCAGAACGTCACACACGCTGGAAAACATGATCGGAGTAGATAGCAGTCCTTGCCTCCAAAAAATACGGCAGGTTCGTGACCACAAAAAGAGGAGTACACAACAGCTTCACCCACACAACAGGTTTGTACACCACAGGAGCCCAGAGGCGAACTATCACGAATGAAATAAAGGCAAGGATCGCAGCAAAGAGGCCAACAGTGGTGGTGCCACCTATCTTTCCAGCTCGTGCGTTTCCCACCCACCCCCACACAAGCACACCCTCCCCACTACCTATTCTCCAAGGTCTCTCCTTGTCCACCATAATAATAAGCTATTTCGCACGGAGGAACCGGTCGTCGTCACTGCCACCATTCTGTCACACACAGGCAAAAGCAGCAAAGGCAAACAACGGAAAGCGCACGCGGTAAGCATGTGGGTCGGTAAATGTGGACTAAGGTGTCGGGGCACCACCCACAGCCTTCTGCACGGTCACTTCGACCGCTCCTTCTCCACTGGCCTTGAGGAACCCCGTACTCATCGCCAGCAACATGATCATTCATCAGCCTGTGTCCAACGAGCCGGTCGAAATTCAATCCCCAATACTTCTTGGCCCACACGATGAAGTGGCCGAGAGACATCTCGGCCTCGCCGATGTTGGGGCCATGTTCTTGTTGTACCGAACGGCCCGCGCCCCTTCGGTAGTGGAGAAGAGGGTCCTCTTCCGCAAGCGTTGGTACTCCGCCCTACTCGGTCCCGTCCTCACCAGAGTGCACGGTGCTACTTTCGACGCTGTCAATCCGCACCGGTACCTCTGGTGATGTGGCCGGTCCTCCCGGTACGCCCACCCCGGAGCTGACCGTGGGGTCGGCGGCATCAGGTGTCTTCAACCCAGCCTCGCCCCCGAAACCGAAAAACGCCACAATTCCCTTGGGCGTGCAGTCTCCGGTCCACCACTTGTCGTCGAGTATGTCCATGGCGAGGTGCGCGGCGATACGATCTCGAGCCGCCTTCTGGTTGTCGCGAAGCCATGATTGGTACTGCGACGGGGGGATTGGGTCCGTCGATGTTCGGTCGAACGAGAGAGCGCACCACCCAATCTTGTCTGCCCTTCCCGACTGCTCGCGTCATTTGATTGCCGTCGCGTCTTTTGATTGCCAGGACAAGTTGCGCACGGTCGTAGCACACCAGGAGCAGATCCGCTTTCATCCGCCACGTCGAGTCCACCTCGCTCACAAAGTAGTTGCAAATCCCCTGTGCCCCACCCTCCAAGTCCCGTTGCCTCACCCCTTGATGTATTGACACAAGCAGGACCACGCCGTGGGCTCGCGCGGTGTAGAAAAGCTCGTCGGCGACTGCGTCGGAGCCGTAATCTTGGAGCCACTTCGTCCGGCCTACGAACTTGTTGGCATGCTTGGCCCCTGCAACGATATTTGACCAGCGCACGTGATGGACATTGGGGAGAGATTGGGGTGGGTGGGGGAGAAAGGGGTGGCGTTGGCGACGTGAGGGGTTGGTGCTTGGCCTCGCAGCGTTGTGAGCTGTTGTCTTCACAAAAAAAAAAATCAGACTCTGCTGAGTACCTTCTAGTATCCCTGCAGGTCATACATAGGTGTTCGCACGAAAAAGACAAGGAAAATTACAACCGTAGTGCAGGAACGCGAATGAATGTATGATTTACACAACAGGGAAAACAATGTCACGGTGCAGGGAACATACTATCACCATTCCGATCGTCGAAAATGAAGAAAACCGACAAAGCTCAACCTTCACCGTTAGGTTAGTTAGGCACTACGATACACGAAAACATTTTGTAGCCGTCAAATTTCTATCATGGTAACGATTCACCGTTAGCAATTTGCGGGTCATCATGTGTTTCTTTGTAAAAAAGTCACAATGAGTGCCCTCTTCTTCCAGCACTTTGTCTCTCCCTTCACCCCGCCCCCTCCTCTCTCCCCCCTTAATAGATCCATTGATCTCGCCCTCACTTCGTTACCATTTGCCATGCCAAACGGCGTCGATGCTCCAATCTTCGTCGCCATGTCCACCACTTGCTCCTCGGTCAACGACCCCCTCCCTATGACAGCGTCAAACACGTTCAGGACCATCACCTTCTCTTATCCCCCCGCGTAGTAGGCGTTGCCAACTGTATCCTTCAGCTTTGACGACCACCCTCTGCTCCTCGTCGACTTATTCTCGGTATGTGAAATAACTTCTTTTTGGTCGCTTCCTTCTTGGTCTTGCCCTTCTTGACGAAGTTCAGCATAAAGCCCCGCATCTTCTCCAAATAGATTGCCGGGGCACGTAGAATCTCTTGCCACTTTGCCTCTGGAAACACCCTCCCGTCCAAGGCCACGACCTTCCCCTTGCCAAAGACGCCGTGGAATAAAGGGCGGTCCCGCAAGTATTGGGCTGTTTTCTTGGCCGCAGGCGCACACCGTAAAGCCAGCTCCCGATATCTGTCCCGTTCGGTACCTGACGCTTCTTCCCTGACCTTCGCCCCGAACCTTTCAACCGGGCCCCAGAATCTTGCGCCCGGCGTACCTCCCTAGGTGTCTGCACTGCCCCCCAACCGCTCTCGCGACGTTGCGTTCCCTTTTCGTTGCCTCTCGCAGCAGCTGGAGAGGATGGGTTCTCCGTCTGTTGGACAGCGGCCGGATGCCGCGGGGACACGGGCGGTGTAAAACCCCCCACCGCTGGGGGCAACAGCACAGGCGGGCGCAGCGAACGGCGTCTTCTGTCCCGGCTAGCCATGGAGTTGCGTGATTACACACGATCATGAAACCACCCTGAAAGCGAGGTTGGGTATCGTTACACAAAATAAACGACAATTTATTAGTGGTCAGTCTTCAACTTTGTAATGCAGCGGTGGTCTTCTCGCCGTACCACCACGAACTGTCGGTGGCAGTTTCCAGATCAACACGTCCAACCTCACAGCAGTTTCCCGTTGACATGTGGCCAGCACGGACAGATACCGCCCCGAAATCACATGTAGTCTAAATAAACAACCGTGGGTCCAAGTAGAAAACATTGAACTTGGAAGATTGGATCTCGATTCCATAGCATGCTGAGTACAACCAAATGCGATATAGTCTATGCTACACACATAATTCTTGTGTGATCCGTTGTTTTGGCATGCTTTCGATGTGCGTGACACCCGGCCGTGCACGTGCCTGCGGATGATTAGACTAGACTAGACCAATACCGCGTAGGTTTCATAGCGGTAATTTGAGGTTTGACCTTGTCATGCCTGGGCGTCTCTAACCCAAATGAGGTCAACCATTTTGCAATAGGTGAGCATACAAGCTGTTTGACAATCAATCAAGGTTTATTTAGTTGCGTCTTGCCAGCCTGATGTAGATGCCCCCGTGCGGCCGCAGACACACGCGTGGGTGCTGACCACCACACGAACCCTCCCACAACAGTTTGAATTCTGACCTGGCAATTCTTATTTAACTCTGTACCCAATGAAGTAGTTCATTTTGTGATATGGTGGGTATTTGATCTCAGAATTTTAACCGATCAGGGGTTGTTAGCATTATGCCACTTACCGCGGAGCACTGGTTGAACATGCCTGCTTGTGGGGGCTCCGTGGTTTTCGATTTCCATACCCGTGGTTCATACACGGCGCCCCTGCGCTGTGCTCGTTGTTGCCCGCCGGCTCTGGGCTGCCCTTGACTGTTGGTCTACAGTAGTCTCGTGCGCTGCTGTGCTGAAGCATGCCCTCCCCCGCAACACTAGGTACGAATCCTGCACTTTTAGACGGCGTGGTGGTATTTGATCGGCCGACGACAGCCAAGTCGGTCGCGAGCCAAGAGAGCGGCTCGGTCCCCCCCGCGGCAACAAACCGCCGAGGAGAAGCAAATCCTGCAGCTGCTGCTGCGGTCACCGCTGAGGGAGCGCCGATGTCGGACGCGGGCGTAGCGATGGGTAGGAGCGATAGTAGCGGTGGTGGGGGGTCAGCAGCACCAGGAGCAGCAGTCGAGTCTGCTGCTGGTACGGCAGGCGAACAAGCTGTTCAACGTCAGGTGAATACAGGCAGAGCGGCCCAATTTGGAGAGTAGCGCACCACGACGCACACCCTCTTTTCGCCTGCGCTTTGCATACCGCACGCCGTGGGTTCCCTGTTGACTGCTGCCGCTGCTGCTGCCGCTGCTGCTGCTGCTGTGCTATCCCTATTGGCTGTTGTGCTAGAGTCGGCCGTCTCGGTGTCACCCAATGCTGCACCTTCGTGGGTTGATATGTGTAAGCCTAAAGTGCGCCACTAAAAAGTGTTGTTACCTCCAACGCGAAAGATACACCGCGGCAGGTCGGGGGCTGCTTGGCGATGTGGGCGTTTGTTGGATATGCTGTGCTTGCTGCTTCTCGTCAAATGACGAAGATCTAAGTGTGTGTGCTTCGTAGACTATGGTTGGCGCATGCTGTGTAGTTGTTGCCGCGCCACGATGCTGCTGCCTCCCAGTGCTTGTGGACGGCGGGGGGAAGCGCAATAAATTTCCCAGAAAATTGTTCAATAGGGGACGCAAGAATGAGATGGCAGAGCAAGTCAGTCGCCGCCTTACAAACCTCTACGAGGGCCGTTTACTTTACCACCCGACAGCGACCTCGGCCTGCCTGCTCCAAGCACTAACAAACTGCTGTAGCACATACCCACGTCAATCTCTGCTGCTTGTAGCACCCACCCAAGCAAGCCAACCTTGAAGGTACTCATCAACACCTACAGGCTTCAGTAACAGTGCACACCGAGAACAAATAGAAGTTAGAACCCTCCAACAACCAACGCTGTGTTTGCAGCTAGTCTGTAGCGCTAATGCCGGCATGCCAACCTGAAAACGTTTCCACCTAACACCAACCTACATTAGCTGTCACGTGTGGGCTGTGGGTTAGCCGTAGAGCTAAACCGGTTTATTGATTCCCCGGCCATCAATCGCCAAAGAAATGACAAGGAAGAAATTGAAACGATGATGCGAATCGCGAGCCGACGCGCCGAAATTCGTTGACGTTAGGGGCATGTGTACGAGGGCTGACCGTGCTATTGCTACACGGAAGAGTTGACGAGACGGTAAACAATATTCTCCAAAGTTTGCTTGCCCATCTCAATGCTGCTGCTGCTGCTGCTGCTGCTGCTGCTTACGCTCCAGGGAGACCGACCGCTGGCGGTGGTGAGGCACAAGACTAAGACCAAGAAAGAGGTTGGCT